ATTCGGCTCTCAAACACCTTGCGGAACACTTGGCGCTGACTTTACTGCCTTTATGCAGACTGTATTTGGTTTGCACATTTCCTCTCGACTCCAATCATTGAAGATCGACCAGAGTTCGGCCCGTAACAACCCCAATCTCCTCAACCTCAAGAATCTGCCGACGCACCGTGTAAGAAGTCTATCCAGGGGTCCACCATGTGGCTTCCGCAGCTAGCGCAATAAGCTCCGGACCGTTGACACAAGAGCTACACAGTAGATATCGGCACGTCTTTGCGAGTGGTGTCTCACCACGCGTGGTTCAGCACGGTGCGGAAAGTCAAGTCGCTTGAGATGCTCCGTTAAACAGCTTGCATGAGCTTTCACAGAGCTCGGAGTCGCTCCGCTACGACTGAATAAACCTCCCAACCTCAAGCACCTCCAGTCTATGACGCTATCCGTATAAACCATAGTTAAAGGGCCAACGGTGGTTCTTCCGGCGTATCGTCCTTATGCCACCGGCGCACTCGACACGGTCAGCCCGTCTCATGCCGCGTGCGAAGGATTCTTGGCTCTTCCCTCTGCGGTTGCTTATGATCATGCTTATGATCATGTCTCAAGGTACCACATAGTGCTCTAGCAGTATTATCAATCTATATTGAATAGACCAGCGGCTAGCAAGACTTCAGCTCCTGTGTTTGACGCTGCGTGAAGTTCGTGTGCTGACACGGATGGACTCTGGCAGCACGCAGAGGATAGATCCAAGCTCATGATCGCCCTGCGTCTGGACTGCTCATACAGTCCTGATCTATCCTTCAAAGCTCTGGCTAACCTTATCATTCACGATGCTCGTCTCTGAACGGCGAGTAGGTACGTAGCGGCTTGCGGGAGCCGATAAATTTGGTCAAGTCCATCTTCGCACGGATTCGAGCATGATCTAAGGGAAGAGCCGTGATGCTCTGGATCGTCAAAGGCTTTCCCGGTGCAGATGCACTCACATCAAGCTGATAAATCCGATTGGCGGATCAAAAGCTGCAGCGTACTTATCGATGCTATACTTACTGGTCTATAGAAGACATCATGTGTCCATGGGTACTCCAGAATCACGCAGGCGCAAATCAATCTGCATTCCGTCGTGTCAGCATCCAAGGGACTTGGGCTTCGGCTTTCTCTCGACGCACTACCGCATTAGACGTATAGGACTATATCGTGCGGCTTTTCCAGGTATCTGCCCACCATCCGTCTTCTCCATCCTTCCAATCTGCCTGTCTGCCAGACAGAATGGACCACCAGCAGGAACACCACGATGACACAAGCAGTCCTCTGAGGTACACGAACAGCGACTGGAGCCCTCCTCCACAGTTCCAGGAATTGGACCAGCCCAACGCTTCCGGAGCGTTCTCGGAAGGACAGTTAAGCCCGTGTACCCCACCGGTCACACATCCACCACTTCACGAGCACGTAGACGTCAGGAGTGAACAACAACAATGGCCGCAAGAACATGATACTTATCGGTCAGGGTACGAAACATTTCAGTGCCGTCTTACTACGCGCAGCGATTCCAACTGGCACTCAAATGGATTCACGACCTCTTCTCGACCCTAGTGATCTAACGTTTCAACAGATACCCCACAGAAAAAGAATCGCCGTACAATACATACCAGGCCGCCGGATCACCAACACCTGAATACTCGGCACCTCAAGTTGTACCAGGGCAGTTTTTTCGCCGTTCCATTGTCGAACCGCCGATGCCACCATCTTCAGATGGAGGCACTTTGCCCATTTTCCCTCCACGACTTTCAGGAATCACCGAACATGTCAATCAGCCTGGATCTCTATCGTCCGACAAGATTCCTGTACCAGAGCCAGTCAATGCTCCGGAGTATTGGGGCATGAAGAAGCGCAAATTCTTCGTACTTGTAGGCTGTGTTTTGATTTGGGTGGTTGCTCTTGCACTGGGTTTAGGTTTGGGCTTAGGCTTGGGACTCAAGAACGATTCATCGTTCGTTTCTCCATCTACGCTTGCATCTGGCACCGTCTAACAATGCGCAGGGACAATGATCCAGCATATCCGTTGTGCCGCAGCAGTCCGCAGTTATGTATAGGTGGCGCAATTAATGCCGATTATGTCTCGCGGAGAGGCGCTTTCAATGGTACAGGAATTGCTTTGGCCGGCGAGTCATGGAATACCGGTCATCGACGCATCTTCACACTGTACTTCCAGCACCACACGGGAGACATCAGGTTCATGCAATATACGACCGACCGAAAATGGATTGGAGGAACAAAAGCCGAGACTGTCGCGAGTGATGCCAAGGATGCCACTCCGATATCTGCAGTCTCTTTCGCTGCCAACTCGACACAATACGTAAGCAGCATTTGCTCTCTCTAATCCCAAACTAATGCCATTGCAGTTCCACATCTTCTACATCAACAAGAACAGTACTGTGAGGCAGCTTACGAGAACAAACGAGACCGACATTTGGCAACCTGGTCCACTAGACGACCTAAACTTAAAGGCATACGACTCGCCTACTGACGGCCTACAGGCGTGTTGGAAGGGCAATTACTATGGAGACTCCGACTATTCCAAGTTCCCCACAGCATCTGGCCTAACCAACCAACAGCATTTCGACGAGCGTCTAGGAATGAATATCTGGTTCGCAGTGGACAACTCGACCTTCCACCAATACGCGTGGTACAACGGACAAGATACGTGGGTTCCCATTCAAGAATGGAAAGGCTTCAATGGCCACGCGGGCGTCGGATGTTACAGTTGGGGTGAAGGAACATCAACATACGCAATGCTAGTCAACGAGCAAAATGATGTGGAGTTCTGGTGGAAAGACACGAATACCACTCGAGCTGCGACGCAATCTCATCCGATCAACACATGGACAAACGCATCCTCCGCTGCGATCAAGGGTGTCTATCCAGCTACTTCTTTGGGCTTTACGACGTACTTTTACGCTCAAATGGCTGATAAGAGCATTAAAGGGTATAACATTACGTATGCATCAGAACATACAAAATTCGTAGAGGATGAAACTTTTACGATTACAGATCCTGCTGGTCCTGTTCAGGGGCTAGGTGGGACGCATCTGAGCGTTACTGCTTTTGCAGAGAGGGATGCCAAGCGAAGGGTGATCTGGGATAGTCTGTATGTGTTTTACCAGTCGGAAGGTGATGATATCACAGCGTTTACACGGCCGTTGGCAGGGGGTGAGTGGACGAAGGGGAAGCTGGCGATTCCACAAGAGTAGGGATCGTAATTTGCATATCGAGGAGCTGGATTTCCTTTGTATCTGAAACGATCCGATCAATATATTCTTGTTTATTGTCTTGAGACTAGTTAGTGCACATGATACACAACGTCGGGCGAGACAGAATATTGAATATCCTCTGGACGGCGATTTCAGCCAATTCTTCTTTGCATGGGCTAATATGAAGCGTCCTATGTGATGATGACACATAAGAGCCTTGTATGTTTATGAGCTGCTACATACAGGACTAGTGCTCACATAATATATATATATACCTTTTGTGAACAAACTCGAAGAGCTAGTCCTTTCGAGCCCCTGAGCCACGATTCGTCGTCGGCAATCTCCCTGAAGAACATTGGTAAGCGATGAGGCTACATAGAGAAACAACGCAGCCTGAATCCAGCTCCTATCACTGTTTAAGCCGCGTACCTGCTATGTCTTCTTGCGCATCTCGCAGGAGGAAACTACTTCGTGTTAGCCTATACACCCAGCAAACAGCAAAAAAAGGACTTACTTATACCACAACACCGTCGGCACAACCGTACCCAAATGCCACAAACTATGCGCATCCAATACGCCCATCCACGGCGGAAAATCCAACAACTCCAAACTCATCGCCATAATAATCCACGCAACACACAAGCCCGGCCAAACCGCCCACGTCCTCCCAATCCTCTTATACTGCACATAACTAAACCCGCTCCATAACAAATTCGCAATAATCCCCACCGCCACATTCGCCGCCATATTGTACGTATAATCCCAGCTCCAAAGCGAAAGGTAAAGAACATGCAGCACATACAACACCACACAAAGCCCCGTCCAAGCCCTCAACACTGACTGCATCCTGGGCTCCTGCCTCTCAAGCCTAAACACACGAATCGGCGCGTAGTACAATCCATACAGCACATTCGCGCCCGCCGCGAAATAATCCAACTTCTCCGTGACATTGAAGTCGCGCGTGTGGAAAATCATGCTAAATGTCCAGCTCGCGAGCCCCACGTAGCCAAACCAAATGTAGTATTTTCGCAGCGGGTACGAGGCCGGTATCTTGTCGCGAAGCTGGCGCATGCCCCAGTCGTGCGCGAGGTAGTTGAAGAGCGAGAAGATGACGCTGAAGGGCTCTTGCATGCCGAGGAAGCGGTAGAACGGCCATTTGCCGTGGAATTGGTAGATGGGGTGCATGTAGGGTGGGTCGCGGGCGAGGCGTTTGTCGGTCACGATGTGTTGGCAGGTGTAGTCGCATTCTGAGGGGCAGTCCCAGAAGAGGAGGCGGCGGTGGAGGGCTGCGGGTTTTGTTAGTTGAGGTGGTATGTCGGAAGGGGGATATTGGCGTACGTATTGGGGTTGGGTTCGTGCCGCAATTGGCTTCTTTGCAGACCTGGAGAGGGGGAGTCAGTTGGAGCTCGGGGGGTTTCTTTGATACTCGGATGGTATAGGAGGAGCCATGCATACCAGCACGCATTCTTTGAAATCGGGCAGTCTGTCACCAAGCGAGGCATTGCCTATGCCGCCTAGAAAAAGAAGCACAGCAAAAGTTTGCCATGCTTGCGTTGTGCGTATCCTCATGGTCTTTCTCTGGACGAAGCACGTGTAGTTGCCATGTGTTTTGTGTACGAATGTCGGTCGCGTGTCGCGGCCAATCGGCACATCTTGGCGTCTCAATCAATCACGTCTATTTTAGGCCCAGCAACCCACTTCGAGGCCACACTATGGGCGGGAGGTGATGCAGCAGCAAAAAGCTAGTCAAAGGAGCAAAAATGGAGAAGCAGGTGATCGAAACCTGGGCCTCCCGCAACACAGTTGTTGACCAGATACTGATCGTGCAAAGCGGGCGCTCTACCACTGAGCCACATCCCCGTTGAAGTGCTCTAAAGCATCACGTGCTGAAGATGGAATTCTAGACCAAAAAAAACATTATATTCGCAAAGACATAGATCCAAAAGTGCTTTGCAGTATACCAAAATCACCTACTTAGTGGTCGGGAAGAATCTGCCAACTGCCGGTCATGTTGGCGGAACCACCCCATCTCGCCTTTGGGTTAGTCTAAAGTCGAGAACAAAGGAAACAAGGAAATGGGCGTAACATCCAAGGGCCGAACACCAACAAAAAGAATTCGCCTGAAAAATAGTCAAAGACTTTCTAATCGTTCTCATTGTACGGAGGGGTCCCAAGACAGAGGAAATGGTGTAATCTCGAGAGGTTTAAACACAGACGAGAAGGTTGCTAGATAGATTTTCAGTCCTGAAGGGCAACAGAAACCCAACGTTGTTCTTTCCAGATCTATAAGAGGACAAAAATTGCATCATTATAACATGACCATTGCGCTTGGTGAAGGAGGGTACACCAGTAAGAGAATCGCGATTTTAGGTGCGATGATTCGTTGCAAAAATGTACAATTGGCGACAGAAAGGACAGGACATAGACACATACTGGCCTAAGATTCACAAAGCTAAATGGAAGCTTTGGTTTAATAGCGGTTTTATTGTGTATATACTGTTGTGCTGTTTGTGTTAGGTCCTTACTTCCCTTAAGACGTGTAGCAAAATTAAGATGATTATTGCAACTATCAAATTGTAAAGTGTAGTTTGCAGTGCGCATGGTGAACTAAGAGCAATTAGGGTGCGTAGTAAGTACGCCGTCAAACGAAACGATCAAATATACATTCTGATGATGAACCTGCCTTCCTTATGATTCTTCTCTTACTCACATGTATTCGTATCAACATGCGCTTTTGGTAACACCTGTTTATCATGGTCACTAAAACAATTTGGAGTCAAGTGCTGGTAAAACAGCTGTAGTTTGTTGCTTCTATCAAAGGCTATCAACACAGCCTCGAATGAAATCTATGTAGAACATAAGATATCATCATAGCTTCATGCTGGGCCCAACTGAGGGATTCTTGCTACTCATTCTTACGATTGACTACAAACGATCCAGCTGTGAGTAGTGACAGGCCTTCCAATCAGATCGTCTGTCACTGTGTGAGAGCTACATACCTAGGTATGCTTCCGTCGACTGCACGTGATATCATGCTGGGCATGATGACTGTACCATTGTACTCTTCTCGAAAGGCTCCTGCATATACCTTGCACACTCGGCATATCACTCCGATGATCGGGCAAATGCCTGTTATATGTCATGGCAGTCTCTGACGACTAAGACTGCGCGGCCTAACTCTGGACGGCGTGACTTAAATTGGGGGGCCTGCATATTCACGACATGGCCGGATACACTTTATAGGTAGAGTGAGCATATTTGAGACGGAAGCATATCCGTAAGCGGGGTCTGGCGTGCCAATATATCCGGGCAATTGGACGCAAATAAGGCGCCTATCAGCAGTCGCGTCATGCTGTTATAGCTCATGGAGCTGAAAGGGGTTTTCGAGAACAGGATGGGAATTTGGCGGCATTGTTCAGAGCTTGCCTGGGAGTCCATGAGAGCGTAGTAGGCAATGATGTCGGCAAACGGATGCCGCAGCCTGTAATCAAATCAAGGCTGGAAACAGCGAATGGAGAGGCACAATGTTCGCAGAGTGCCTCGAGATTAACGAGAATCTGCTGCTAAATGGAAAGACGAAAGGCTGGTGCGGCCAATGACGAGCAGGGTGGGAGGCCAAAATGTACGTGATCGCATCAATAATTGGTGCTGGAAGGACTCCGAGCCTGGCCAACGCCACCATCTGAGCCGAGACTGCGGAGGCATCGTGTTTTCTTGGTACAGCCGGTGCTTGTCGAGGTGTCGGCGTACATTTGGTGGACAGTACAGTAGATGGCGCGCGAGAGGAGCAGAGACAGTGTGGCAGCCGTCACCCGTAGCCATTCTTAATCCGTATGTGGGCCTAGCCTTGTTGCGCTGTGCGCTAACGGGGGTCGAGCGTCTCAAACCTGCCTCCATCAATCAACCACACATCACCACTCTGCACCCGCCATCCGCCATTACACCCCCCGCCCGCGCCCACCGCCCATCGCATACCGCCACTGCCCGCGCACGACACTGGTGCACCGCCCGAGGACGCTGTCGCACCGCTGCTAGGAGGCCTGACCAGGGAGAACAGGGCCTTAGGGGCTCGCAGGACCGTTCGCCGCGATGCAGCGACGCAACAGCGACAACGAGGAGCCCTCGCGACAGCCCGACAACCCCGATGTCTTCGACGACGACTACGAAGTCGACCCGGATGAGGAGGACTTCATGCCCTCGGTGTCTGACGGCTTCCGGCCGGTGAACACGCCAAACGGGTGGCATAACGACCGCCAAAATCACGATCGGAACGATGCACCGCAGCGCCAGACATCGACCTCGAAACCGCCAGCTGCCTCAGGAACCGATCTGCGGAGGATGGCGACGCGGAACAGTGTCGCCAAGGTGCACGACCCGACAGTGCCAGACAGCCAGCCGTCACACCACAGGGGGCCCAGCTCTCCATCGCCGCTTGGACATCGCGACTCAGTGAGCTCTGCTGGATCTTTTGCCACGACGAGCAACTCGGAAAACCCTTTCGAGTTGGGTTCTGGGCCCAGCCATCCGTATGGCATGTACCCGCAGCACACCATGGCCCGCCCTGCCAGTATAGCAACGACCTCCACAGAACGCCAGCCACATCGATCAATGTCGCTACAACGGCCGACACATCCATATGCCATGTATTCTCAGAGCGGCCTTGTCGACGAGGAGCCTCAGGAGGCTCTCGAAGAGCCCACACGGCCGACATTGCCCTCCGTGCAAACGGCCCTGGGGCCAGTGGGATTCCCTGGGCTCAACAGCGGCTACCACAGAGTATTGGGACCCGATGGTGAAGAGCAGGATATCATAGGACCAGACGGACATACCGAGCAGTTACCGCCATACTCAAGGTATCCGGACGAGGGACCCACCAAAGCTTCCATGGCAGCCGAGATGAGCGCATCGCGCATTATTCCTGCTCCTGTCCCCGGTGCTGAATCCGAAGATCCATTCAACACACCAGCGTCTCCCTCATCGCCATCGAGCAGAGTCTCTTTCTCGGCCCCTACTTTACCCGAAATACCCGTGCTACCAACTGTCACTCCCGCCCGCCTCCCTCCTCAAAGACCAGAGACACAGACTGGTAATGTGGCCCCTGCGACCTCTGTAGCAGCACACACGATACCCGCGGAACCATCCGACTCGTCTTCAGCATCCTTACTCGCTACCGAAAACAGCTTCTCCGAGAAAGCGGAGCCGGTAGATGCCAAGCCACATTGGCGTAAGAGGAAGTTGTGGGGCAAGATCCCCATGGGGATCGTCGTGGTGGTACTCGTGCTACTGTTAGTCTTCGCTATAGCTCTTGGAGCAGCGATTGGGACCATCGTTGCCAAGAAACACAACAACGACAAAGATGAAAATGCTGGCAAGAACCCTCACGACCAACCGTAAGTGTCCCCACTATTAATCAACACGGGCAAAAACTGATATTTCTAGATTATCACAAGTTACCGGTCCCAATGGCTCGCTATTCGACGCGGTTCCTATCCCCACACCTTCAGACCTTGCTCCATTGCCCACAGGTGCCTTCGCATTGCCATTGGGAATACCACAGGAAAGTAATCCAGGATGTCTGACACAGGCAAACCAATACTCTGCATGGTCTTGCAAGATGACTTTTGCGCCACTTGTTCTCACCATCAACGACACATCAGAGGCTCCCGGCTGCCAACAGCTTGCCTCCATGAAGCAAGGCGCCTCAGTCCCCGGTGGTACGATTCTCTACGGTCTACAGACACCCCAGCTGGACATGGAATCGATGGACCTCGTGATTGATCTAGACTACAAGGCATATGGGCCAGCCTTTCACTTCAAGACGCGCTACGACAAACTCGTGATATTGAGACAGGAGGAATTGAGCGTTTTACAAGGTCTCACAAAAAGACAAGATGAATCCGGCTTTCGCCAACGCTTCCAAGTCAGGCCTGGCGATAATCCATGGTATTGCTTCTGGAACGATACATACATTGAAGGGTACATCTACTCGATGGACAACTCATCCGCCGCATCCTACACAGTACTCCCTACCCAGTCGTCAAGTTCTCCGACCCCAACCTCTCTCAACACAGCCGCTGTTAATGTAGCAACTGCTGCCACCATGACAAGTGGCTCATCGATATATCCTACAACATCCACCACGGCCGCCGCACAAACAAACATATCCGCAGTACGCCGAGATTCAAATGCAGGAGGTTCAGATCCTGCAGCCGCACCGCGCATGTCGCCATATCCACGCATCGTCAAGATTGAAGAACGTCACATCCCCAACTCACCGAAACCCTATTGCCAGCGAATGGTCCTCCTTGACAACGGCATCATCACCGCAGCGCCAAACGGCAACAACGGACCCGTACAAATATTACTACAAGAACAAGATCCCAGCTACGAAGAGTACATTGCCGCGTCACAGCATAACAATCGCAAGCGCGATGGTCTTGCGGATGAAGTCCTTCGGCGAAGCGATCCTTCGGATTCATGTCACTGCCAATGGATGTTCAATTAGGCATTCATCCTTGCTGTGTGATTGTGTTGCTTTTGTACTTGTCTGTCTGGGTCCATCGAGCGGGCGGCCTTGATTTTCTCCCTTTTCAACAATTGCATCGCGGGGTCAACCTCTCTGACTCGGGTATATACAACTTGTATTGGCGTTTTTTTCTGCTTTTTCCCTTTTATTGGGCGTTTTATTCAACTACATGTAACCGACTTACGAGTCCCGTTGTCTCAGTTTTCCTTGCTCCTTTTTTTTTCTCGCTTTTTTTTTGAAAAGGTCATGTTTGCATGCATGCCCGTGTGGCTTTTTCCTCCTTTTAAAGTCCTCCTCCATCTCCTTGTCATCAATCATCTCTTAGTATTACTCC